AACTGCAAGAATGAAAGGAGAACAGAAGAATCACCCATACAAACTGGCGTTAACGTGAAGTAACATTAATTAATATTTGATCAATTTAAATATGAATTAAAGGTGGCTTTAAAGGCATGGTTCACGCAAAAATTAACTTTCTATCATCATTTTCTCAACCTTTTGTCATTCTGAATCTGTACGAGTTTCTTTCTTCTGCACAACATGAAAAGGTATTTTTTTTCTCCATACAATTGAAGTCAGTGGTAACCATAACTATCTGGTTACCAACATTCATCAAAATGGCAAGAACAACATAGGGGTGAGTAAATGGTGACAGAATTTTCATTTTTGGTGAACTACTTTAAGATATCCTTTGTAACAGGCAAAGCAACATCATATCACATAGTGCTCTAAACCTGAAATGGCTCCAACCATGACAAAACAATATTATTAATAATCTTTCAGATTAATACATTTGTTATGCTGCATATAATCTCATTATATGACAAAGGACTGATTTATTAAAACAAAACAAATCAATTTCTCATTTGCTCCATAGCAACACAATGCTCATTAATGGCTATTAGAAACTCTAATGATAGAACAAAAAAATGAAGCTGAATTTTCCCCATCAGTGAAATACAAAAGAGGCAATAGGCAGAATATCCCAGTTGTTCTTTTCACACAAGGAAATACTGACAAACTCAAAAAAGGACAAAAAAAAAACTATATTTCAAGTCTTCTGAAAAATATGATTAAATTATAATACATTATTCAAACAAAGCTCAGAGCAGCTTAGATTCTGTGTTTTTTGTGTCATGAAGAATTCAAATAAAGCTCTGTCAGAACAACATGAGGGTGTGGAAAACGTCAAGATTTTCATTTCGGGTTTCTAAACTTACAAGAAGGCAGAGGAACACTTCAATCGAGAACAGATCATGACAGTGAACTCCTTACATTGTGCCGATCAATCAGATGACGACTGCCCTTTGAGGAACCAGTCTACACAGATAGCTTGTACTTTGTCAAAACCCCCTCTGCTGAGACATCAACTCATTTTACAAGTGGCCGTAAGGCAGGTAGATAATATTAATATGCCGAACACATGCTGCAGTGACGCGACTTCCATTCTTTACAGTGAAACTTTGTCACAGGCAGCACTCAAGACATGTGAAATGCATCATCTTGAAAATGTCGAAATAAAAGATTAATTCACTGGCAATATACAGTGAGCAATAAGCAACACAGCTCAGGATTGATTGCTTGTTCAGCAGCAGCTCAGTAACAGAAGCTGATTATTGTGATGGATGCTAAAAACCACATGCCAAGTTTAGAATCCAAGAGGATGCAAGTACATGGTTCATATATCAAGGTGTGTTGCCGAAAGACAGTGAGATTGTGACAGTTCAGCTCCAGCAAGCACAGCACGTTGCATTTTGGTTGCAGTTAGATAATGTCACAGAAGACCTTTTTAAAAATATCCAATAGAAACCACACATACAACTGAAAAATAATGTAACCAAAATGTAAAAATGTTAGAACGTTGGTAATTAACACCTGGCAGGTTTTCTTTAGCATTAAAAACATCAATATTTGTGTAATTGAAACAAAACCTGCTTTATTTTAGCATAATCGAATGAGATGTATTAGTTCATAATATACCTGAATACAAACATGCCATTTGTCTCCTTTTTTTAAACTTACATGAACTTACAAAGCCAAATATGTGTCAACAACAGACAATTTAGCTTGAAAACATTTAACTTTAATCAATTGTGAATATTCATATTGCTTCAACTAAATTGTTATCAGAAGGAAGAGTGCACTAGACATTCATGTTTCAGATAGGAGGTATTTTTTTCTGAGGTAAGGCACTTTAACCAAGAAAAATTAGATCAATATCTTCTAACGGAACATGAAAATGAGCAATGTTATAATTTGTAGCTGTAAAACGGAATATAAAAACAGCTAGAATTATGCCGACTGTTTACGGTTTAGACTTAGGGCTACATGAATCTTTGACACTATTTGAGCGAACTATTAAAAAGAAACAAAAAAGAAAGGCTGGATATCATATTTCATCTCAAGCTCTCTCTCTTCTCTCACTGTTATTGGTAAAGACGACAGCTGTGCTACTGGTAATCACTCATAGGCTACTGAAAATGTACGTGGCAAAAACAAGACTACTATAGCCTACTGTACACTGTACGAGGCTAGTCTTGGTAAATGCCCTGCTTAAAAAATGACTGAATACGAGAAAAGAAACGCTGAAGTGAAAGACCTAAAAATAATAAAATTAAAATAATGCAGCATTATGACAAAAGCATTACATGACCACATAAAGTCAAGACAAATCCCCAGCACTTCCCATAACGAATTACATTTACGAACTTATTGCATTTACACTTTTCAGTGGTTTCAAATAAAAAAGAAAAAGACTAGAAAGTTTGCCTTTTAATATAAACTGAATGCTTCATAATGACTTACCTTACTTGTTGATAGTTCAGTGGATCAGTCGCCTTTGCAGTGAGTAAAAACTGAAGTGCAAGCAGCAGCTATAAAACATCCCCCTCGCGCTGATTGGATGGAGAGCCCTGCTCCGGAGACTCGTGGTGCGCTCGCTCCACCCGCATTTTACTGCCTGCTCGTGGTGGGGATTTTGATTCATTCCAGTGACTCGAATATTTTGAATCAGTTCACCACAAAGATTGGTTCACTGGCGTTTTCAAGTGGAATCTTTTGAATTCAGTGCGAGTCGTTTTGTGTTTGAAGAATTCTATTAGTCTATCCACCTTTTTCTTGTTGTAAAAATGGGCGCGGCCATTTGTAAATTCTATGGGTCTGGCTTCCGGTCTCATCTGCGTCCACTCCATCCAGCTATTTTTAGCTGAACAAAACAATTCGTTTTGCTGCTTGATATTGAAAGTTGGTGTGTCTTATCATATAATTTTAATGTATTATCTTCATTATGAACACACTGGTTTGTAGTGCAAATGTTTTACCGTTTACTACA